TAATCTTATAAATGTGATAGAAACATGAAAGGAAAAAAAACATTTGATACATATCTTAGGGTTCATTTCCCTAACATCAACTTATCTGACCTTTTCGGCTTGACTCAGACATATACTAGTTATTGAAAATAAGGGAAACCATGGGACCTGTGTTTCTTTGGGCCTGGCTTACTTCACTTAATATAATCTTTTCCAAGTCTTTCCATTTCCTTTTTTTTTTTTGTCGGTCGTGAGGCTTGAGCACTGTCCCTCAGCTCTTCAGCTCAAGGCTAGTGCTCTACCACTTGAGCTACAGCGCTACTTTCAGTCTTTCTATTTCCTAACAATTGGCGCAATGTCATTCTTTCTGATGGAGGCATAGAATTCCATTGTGTATATATACCACATTTTCTTGATCCACTCATCTACTAAGGAGCATCTGGGTTGGTTCTATATCTTATGTCTTAACTCTTAAATGCATTTTTATTTTCTTGAAATATAAGTACTTAAATATTGTACCTAAGTTGAAGCCTGGAAATGAGCAGTTTCTTTCTGTGAGGATGTGGAAAGAAGCATTCCCTGAAGAGCGAGCTCAAAGAACAGCCAGCCTCCTCCTTGCTCCCCACAGCCCACTCACCTGCACCCAGGCCCAAACTGTGGGTTCAGGCAAATTATTGGGAAGCTTACTTTTTACCTTGATTTGTTTTCTTTTTGCCCCTTTTTGTTAATAGATGACTGAGAAAGATATCACATTTGTTGCTGAATTTCTTACTGAACATTTCAATGAAGAAAGAAATAGCTATTTTTACAATTTAGCCACTTTGAAAATAATCACAGCAAACATGGTTCATGATTAAAAAGTATTTAGCAATTACTTTTTTAAAAAGTCTAATTTTAAAAAGACTAAACATATAGTCTGTAAGTAGACTTCTGTTTGTATGTATCTCACAGTCTGCAAAAGACTAAATGCAATGGATAGCTGTTTTATAAAATACATATTGAGTTTGTTAAATTTAAGATTATTTTCTTAATATTTTGAGCTTTTAGAAATAAACTATGTTTGTTCTTTCTAGGCTCCAGACCTTTATAATCAAAAAGGAAAATATTTTAATGTTGAAAAATTTGGTCAGGTATGGGCTTTCTATTGAACTTGGTTTGAATATTAAGACTTTGTACTGTTAATTCATATTATCTAAAGTTTATGGAAAATAATATAATGCCAGTATAATTGGCATAGTTGTGTATTTTCTCAGCTGTCTTTGATGTCCAGCTTAATAGAAGACAGCTAATTTTAATGTCTACCTATGTGTTTATTCTGTTTTAATATGCTAATTTGCTTAATGTATATAAGGAAAATCTAACTTCAAGCAGGTGTGTGTCCTTGGAAAGGAGAAAGTACTGAACTAGTTTTGTCCTGTAACTGAGGATATTCTTTAATATTATACAAAATCCTTCCAAGTGTTGGTCTCTTGGAAGTTTTTAATGTGGAATCTAAAATTGGGTTAGTAGACACTTCATACTAAATTTCATTAAAAATCTCTCCATCTTCCCTGCACTTTGAAAGGGACTTTTACTCATGCTTGTTTTCATAGCATCATATCTTGGTCTTTTTAGAAATATTGGTTCTCTGGCTTTTACAGATCTTTTTAAGTACGGACACCTTCCATTATACATTATAAATATCAGGTGACTTCAGTCTACTCTAATCAGAGTCTTTAGTTACTGTGAAGCTGTCAGGCACTCAGTAACAGATGCAGGTGCCAACATTTTGAGTTTTGCTTAAAAGTTGCTTTTTTTTTTGAGACAGGCTCTTGCTATATAGGCCTTAAACTTGTGATATTCCTGCCTCATCCTCTTCTAAGTGCTAGAATTACAGGCCGTTAGAAACATGTTTAGCTGAAATGTTATTTGCAATAAATATTTTAGGTTCTTTTGTTCAAAGTCACTTTATTTTCAAGAAAATACCTCCCAAAAGTAAGAGTTTGAGGGGGTAGAGGGATGGATGAGTATGCATGTTCAAAGGGGTAACATTGACCAAGACATATTTGTCCATAAGCTGTACAATGGCAACTCCTTTGTGCATCTACTTAATAAAATAAATAAAAATTTTAAAATTAAAAAATACCTTGCAAACATCTAAGTATGAAGAATCAGTTTGTCCCCTAGTCTTTTGTTTCCAAGTAAAAATTGAATGTCATTTTTAAAATTTTTATTTATTTATTATTGTGAAAATACTGTACAGAGGGGTTACAATTACATGGGCAAAATAATGAGTACATTTCTTATCAAGCATTGTAGCCTCCTCCTTTGTTTCCCCTTCCCATCCCTTCCCATCCTCCCCCCGGAATGTCATTTTTTTACAAAATGTCTGCCTTTACAACTGAAACAAGATAGTTTCAGTCTTTCTTCAAGACAACTTTGCATGCTTTGATGTGTTGTAAAATCACCCCTGTGTGCCTCCCAACTCTGTCTCAAAAAACGTTAAAAGATCTGCCATCAAGACTTGAGAATTAACAATTTAATAGTTCTATCAGGGTAAATGAAACTGAATATGTGACAAAGAACACAAGAATTTGGTCCACTAGGTAAGGGGTGCAGGTACTGGCTGTTCTTTCTTCCACACCTTCCGTGCAAATGTTGACACCGTGAAAGGGCAAGTGACACCTTGGCACTAAAGCTGGCATTAACCTTGTAGTCAATGGAAGCATGCTGAACACTCTCAGGGATGGGGCTACACTGTGAGAACTGCCCTTATGGAGCATACTGTCAGTTGGTACTTGTAAAACTAAAATATAGCCCTGATAGGTAAGGTTAAAATATATCTTGAAAATGAGCCACAAAATGTAAACTCTGGTTTCTACACTTACTGTACTCTGACCATTTAAGTCATTTGCATGTTGTCTAGAATTTGTCACCTCACTTAGAAAAATAATGTACCTTCAGAGAACCTGGCAGTATAACAAGATAACTTACTAACTAGAATAATGTTAAATACAGGTTAGATCTTGAATCATTGATTAACTGAAAAAAATTTAACTGTATTTTTAGTATTGGAAAGATGAAGATGAGGACCTTGTGTCACCCCCTAACACGGAAGGAAACCAGTGGTATGACTTCCTCCAAAACAGCAGCCATCTTAAAGGTACTTTATGAACCAAGCAGGTGTTGGCCATGTTTATACGTAATTGAGATTAAAGAGTAGCCTCAACATTTGTCTAATTTCTTCAGGCTTACTTGGCATGTCCATTTTATTTGATTAGAGAACAGCATTTTAACAAGTAGAGTATGATGTCACCATGATAGATAGAAAACACCCTGAAATTAACTGTGCTGTGGTACATTAACTATGCTGACACGAAAATTATTTTTTCCCTCCTGACACCAGCCAGTTATGATACCAGCTGAAGGTCCTGCAATGCAATTCATTGCAGTTATGACACTGAGCACCCACAATGAGCATTAGCCTCCAGGGGGAGGAAGGCTCAGTCCGCTAGACTCCTCACATCACATCAGTCCCAAGAGCTAGGTTCCCTTACCCACACCTCTGTGGGACTTGACTATGGGGCATGTGTCCACAACTTTCCCCCTTAAGTTGGCATAGCTTCCAGAATGATGTACAATGCTCAGGAACACATTCAGCTTTCCTTTCCAGACTGTTTGTTATAAAAATTTAACTTGGGCATAGCCCAGTAGAAAACATCATTCAGGGTTTGGTGTGGAGGAAGAGGCCACAGCTTTTAGATCCTCCCAGCACTCAACATGTTCATCAACCAGGGAGCCATCCAAACCTCCCCAGTGTCTTTTTTTTAATTATTAAGAAGGTTAGTAAAGAATGGTTATGGTGGGCTGGGAAGTTGGCTCAGTGGTAGAGGGCTTGCCTTGCATGCATCAGGCCCTGGGTTTGATTCCTCAGGACCACATAAGCAGAAAAAGCCGGAAGTGGCTCTGTGGCTCAAGTGGTAGGGTGCTAGCCTTGAGCTGAAGAGCTGAGGGACAGCTCCCAGGCACAGAGTTCAGGCCCCAGGACCAGAAAAAAAGAAAAAGAAAAAGAAAAGAAAGGTTATATGGTTATGGTTATGTAAGGCAGGTAAAGATTACATTTATTATTTTGACAATGTCACCATTTCCCTTACTCTCTCCCAGTTTGTCTTGGGTTTTTGATGGAGGCTTCATTATAATGATTAAGTCACTGGGATAAAATTCAACCCCAAACCCCTATTCCTTTCCTGCAGTCTGGCAGATGGAGCTGGAAGTTATAATCTTCTGGTTAAGGCATAGTCTTTCCACCCCACCCAACCCTGAGGCTTTGCAGGAACCTGCCAGAGTGACCACATTAAAATTGGCCATCACATTTACTACTCAGGAAATCTCCTGGGTTTCAGGAGCTGAGTTTTGGGAACTGGGGACAAAGGCAATATGTTTTTCTGTAAATACCCAGTATGTCACCTCTTGAACCTTAAAGTGCTGAAATGATGATTTTTTTACCTAACACAGCTGGGAAGGGAAGTTCTGAGTGTGGGAGAGACAGTTTCAGAGCCATTTGAGCTGGTGGGCCTGAGTCACAGCTTGATTCACAGCTCTTTTCATCCCAGGCAGTTCTAGAGGACCAGTAGGCCTCTTTGTTTTTTTCCTTTTAAGTTGGAGAATACGATGAGTTCTTATGGATATTGTAATACTGTATAAAAAACCATTTTAAAATAAAAAGCATACTGAATACAACAGCAAAAAAGAAACAAAGCTAGCAGTGGCAGAGTTGCCTGGACTGCTGCTGCTATCACATTGTGGCAGAGTTGAGAAGAAAGAACAGGTTTCAGTACATAGCTTATGGTTTCCAATGCCTTCCATTTTTCTAATAGCCAATAGCGTTTTACTGTTGGGCTTTGGTGTAGGACTAAGCTTGAGAAGGACCAAGCGAATGTAGTTGTGTTAAGTGGGCTGGATTGAAGGGAGATTCTGGTCATTTTTTTTAACAAGGTATGTCGAAAGTATAATGAGAATTCCACCATGAAAAACTATGGACTGCCTCTGACATTGGATTATTTTCTCCTAATCATTGGTTTGCTATAGTTTTTGTTTTGTTTCTGTTTTTGTCTGAAACCAGAAAGCCCTTTGCTGTTTCGTTATTATACTCGAAAATCATTGCATTTTGTGAAAAGGCAAATGGAAACCATTATTGATCAGTGTTTGCAAATGCCAGCAGTAAGTTGGGAAGAAATGCACGTCTTTGTGTGGGAACAAGAGTATAGTATGTCTCATCTATGTAAATGAACATAGATATTAGGATAAATTGTAAAAATGCTGATATTCAACTGGTTTTGATTGTCAAAATTGGCAGTTTCTTATGGCTTGGTTATATCCATAGTTAATTCCTTATATAAATTTATTTTACTTTATGTATTTTTAAAATTATTATAAGGTAGGCACTTATGGCTCATGCCTGTAATTCTAGCTTCTCAGGAGACTGAGATCTGAGGATCGAGTTCAAAGCCAGCCAGGGTAGGAAAGGCCATGAGACTTATCTCCAATAAACCACTTAGAAAATCAGAAGTGGCACTGTGGCTCAAGTGGTAGAGCACTAGTCTTGTGCTGAAGAGCTGAGGGACAGAGTGCCCAGGCCCAGAGTTCAAGCCCCACCAACGACAAAAAAAAATTATTGTAAAAGTTATGTACAGAGAGGTTACAGTTACATAGGTCAGGTACTGAATACTGTACACTTCTTTTTGAACAGTGTAACCCCCTCCCTTATTTTCTGCTCACATAAATTTAAAAATTATTGTCTTAGTAAAGTATCTTTAGTGTTTCATTTGCCCCCCAGATCAATCTCATTACAGTCTTAGTCCCAGAGCTTGTGTGTCTTTCAGTGACTGATGTCATGAGACCAGAGGGAGGGAGTGGTCCTTTAGCACAGGCCAAGCAGGCTCCTCACCACTAGCTGCTACCCTTCTCTCTAATGATGTTTCCAAATCTTGCTTTTCTGTAGGATGTAATTGGAAAATCAATGAATCAAGCCATCTGTATTCCATTATATAGAGATGCTAAAAGGTAATCTTCTTTACCTGTTATAATTTAGCAGCCAGATTGCTCATATTTCCTTTTCTGTAAGTGTGTGTCTCCTCATCTTGTGTAAACAGTAGTTTTTGTTCTAAACTTAAATAGCTAAATACATTACTTTTCTTTCCTTAGGTGGAATAATAAAAGTTCAAATCTATAGTACCTTCTTTTTACTATTTTAGAAGAATCGCTGTATAAAATATGTATCTTAAGAAGGCATACTGATATTTCCCAGTGAGTATTCCTTTGAAGTTTGAAATGAAGAGATGAGAGCTTAATATTTGTAATAATAATAAGCTATTCAGCTTCCCTTCCAGCATTTTGGGTTTCAGCAAAGCTGCCTCATGACTTTAGGTTTGCATTCAGTATTCTCAGTTCTCACATCTGGGAGATGGTAATGCTGAGTTGAGAAGCTATTTGATCCCTTCTTGTTCTAGAGTTTTAACTTTTCTATTAGTATATAGCCTCGTATATAAGTTTTTTTTAAATAGGTTTAGGAAAATGACAGCAGACCTGGGTTATATCTAAGGAACACTTAGCGATTCAAAACTGTGTTAGTAAGTACTTTATAGAAAGGCTTTTTTAAATTTTAGGTTAATTATCTTTCATCAAATAAGAGATCTTGCCCACAGAGACTTTTTGAGATTCCAAAGTAAACATTCTGAAAATCAAATGTATTCAGGGTTCCATTAGCATTTTAAATGGTTGTAAGTCTCACTACGGAGGTACTATTTTATTTGTGTGTGCCAGTCTGGGGCATGAACGTAGGCTCTGGGCATTGTCCCTGAGCTTTTGTGCTCAAGGCTATTGCTTTCCCACTTGAACCACAGTTCCACTTTTGAATTTTTGGTGGTTAATTGAAGATAGGAGTCTCCTGGATCCCTGCCCAGGCTGGCTTCAAATGATGATCCTCAGATCTCAGCGCTGAGTAGCTGGGATTACTGGCATGAGCCACCAGCACATGGCTAAAAGGATTTTTTTTCTTTGTCAAGTTGATATACAGAGGGGTTACAGTTAATAAGTAAGATAATAGGTATATTTCTTGTCTAACTTGTTACCCCCTGCCTCATTTTTCTCCTTTCCCTCCCCTCCCTAATCCTCCCACTTGCCAAATTGTACAGATCATTTCCAACATATTGACTTGTGAATATGGCTATTGTATTGGATCCCCCTTGTCCTTTGTCTCACGATTCTGTTCTCCTTTCTCTTCCCTAATTCAGATAAATGTATATACAATACCAGGGTACCAAAATCAAATACAGTGACAATAGGGGATAAACCATAGGGGGAAGAACACACCAAAGAAACAAAAAGTACATAGTACGTCAAACACAAAAACAACAGGGCTGGGAAGGTAGCTCAGTGGTAGAGTGCTTGCCTTGCATGCCTGAGGCCCTGGGTTCGATTCCTCAGCACCACATAAGCAAATAGAAAAAAGCCAGAAGTGGCGTTGTGGCTCAAGTGGTAGAGCACTAGCCTTGAGCTGCCCAAGCCTAGAGTTCAGGCCCCACAAACAGACCCAAAAAACAAAACAAAACAAAAACAACAACAACAAAGAAAAACCTCATGTTTCCATGTCTTGGAGTTCATTTTGCTTAGCATCATCCTATATGGTCATATGTACATAGTTCTTGAGCTATTTTTCTCATTTGTTAAAATTATCCTGGATGTATACTAATTATTGCAAGTAAGGGAAACCATGGGACCTATTTTGAACTGCATTCCTCAGATCTAAACCTCCTGAGTAGCTTGGGTTACGGGCATGAGCCACTGGCACTCAGCTTTACCACATTTTCTTGATCCATTGATATACTGAAGGGCATCTGGATTGGTTCCATATGTTAGCTATGGTGAATAATGTGGCGATAAACCTAGTTGTGCTGGTATGTATATGTATATGTATACATATGTGTATCACACTTTCTTTTTTGTTGGTCATGGGACTTGAACTCTGTGCCTGGGCACTGTCCCTCAGCTCTTCAGCTCAAGGCAAGTGCTCTACCACTTGAGCCACAGTGCCACTTCCAGTTTTCTGGTGGTTTATTGAGGATAAGAGTAACAGACTTTCCTGTCTGGACTGGCTTTGAACTGCATTCCTCAGATCTAAACCTCCTGAGTAGCTTGGGTTACGGGCATGAGCCACTGGCACCCAGCTTTACCACATTTTCTTGATCCATTGATCTACTGAAGGGCATTTGGGTTGGTTCCGTATGTTAGCTATGGTGAATAATGTGGCGATAAACCTAGTTGTGCTGGTAGCTTTAGTATGGCCTTCTTTGTGGTCATTTGGGTAAATGCCCAGCAGGTGATTGCTGGGTCATAGGGGAGCTCTATGTGCCTTTTGAGAACCTCCACTAAAGGGAATTTTTGAATTCAAGATGCTAGTTGTCCTTAGTTATGGCCTTTAGCTACTTAGTGATTAAGATTTTAAACCAAGCTGGTTTGCCTGACTAAGTGTTTAAGTTATAGTATTCTGGAGTGGAAGTGGTAGTGTTGGTCTGGGATTTGGGAATTAGATAGGTGTGCTAACATTGCCAGTCATGTTTGTTAAAGCATTTAGATTTATTGGCTATGTAGTTGTTCCAGAGGGTCTCATTCCCCTCTCTCCTTTCTTTCTTCAAGATCTGTAAGTAATGGACTAATTGCTGTGAAATTTGGGAGCTTCACCTATTCTACAAGTGAAAAAGTCAAAAGAAGATAATGCCCAAGCCTGATTTGGGACAGAAGCATGTGGGATATATGTGTAGTCAGTGCTATGTCAGATGTGCTGTCAACAAAGGGGCTCTGTCATTTGTAGGGGGGCAGATTTTCTTTTACTTTGATTCTTATTAGCTCTGTTCACTCAGTTATATATAAGGTATAACTCATGAAATTTTCACAGGTTTAAGGCCTAGCCATTTATGTCCAGAGTTTTCTAGAACTGTGATAAAATGTCACAGATCATTTTGTTTGATCTTGATTACTTACTTTGTTATAACTAGTTATATTTGTGAAAATTGATATAAAAGTATAAACTGATAAGGTGTTTTGTCATTGCAGGGAATATCACCTACGGTTTTAAATTATTTTGTTTTTGCTTAGTGTCAGCATAATGTTATACATACTGTATTTCATTGGTTATGATCATTTCTGATATAACAAAACACATCTCACTTCCAGCAACTACAGCTGTTTAGATGCCCAGTTTTATGATGATGAAACTCTAACAGTCATTCTTAAAGACACCATGGGATGTGAAGGAAGAGACAGACTCTTGGTCCAGTTGCCATTGTTGTTTGTGTATAACAGTGAAGATGCTGCAAAGTACCAATTCACTAGAACTTATGCCACAAGGTAACTAACTACCTTAGTGGTAGAGGGTCTGTGTGGTAAAAGTTAGCTTTATTTTTTTAAAGATAGGATCTCAAAAAGAGCTGGAAGTGTGGCTCAAGTGGTAGAGTACCAGGTGCTGAGTTCAAACCCCAGAACCACCAAAAAATTTTTTTAAAGTGTCCCATTGTGTATCTCACGTTGCCTTGCCTTGAAATAGCCAGGCTTGTCTCAAATTCATGAAGTTCTTACCTTGGTCTCCAAGGTGTTGAGTTGTCAGTTGTATGCTACCAGGCTTAGCTGATATTTAGCTATATTTACCATGTGCCAAGAATTCCAGTTTCTTAGATATGCTAGGCAATGGTTTTCTTTTTTTAAAAAAAATTATTTTTATTTGTGAACATACTGTACAGAGGGGTTACAATTGCATGGGCAGGATAATGCGTACATTTCTTAATTAGGCAATGGTTTTCTAGTTACTGGTCTACCCATACAGACAGCTGAGCAGAAAACCTCCTGCTTTTTTTTTTTTCTTTGTCCATCATGGGGTTTGAACTCTGGGCCTGAGTGCTGTCCCTCAGTTCTTCAGCTGAAGCCTAGCACTCTGCCACTTGAGCCACAGTGCCACTTTGAGTATTGTGGTGGTTTATTGGAGATAAGAGTTTCACAGTCTTTCCTGCATGAACCATGATCCTCCTGAGTAGCTAGGATTACAGGAATGAGCCACCAGTGCCTGCCTGGCTTCCTACTTTGTATTTTTAAAATCCTAACTTCATACAAGACACTGAAACCCACCAAACAAAAGGGGAGGAGGAGACTAATTGCTATTAAATTTAGGAGGATCATCTACACCAGAAATGAAAAAAATCAGAAGAAGGTAAGTCTTCCTTCATGCTATAAAGTCTTCCCAAATGTTACAAATTTCCTAATGTTACAATTGTATGTTACCTCAAAAATTAAAAAACGGAAAAAAATGTGCCGACTTTAATCATTGTCTTGTCCCTTGCTTTAATATTAAACTAGGAATTTTTGCTAGAATAAGATGAGGAATTATTTGGAATGGAGAAGAGGACTTCATTTGAGTTATGTCTTAAAGGATAGCATTAACTTTAGTTTACTGTCACTAATAATTGTAAACTTTCCTTTAGTATTTTCCAGAATTGGGACCCCAGTTCTATTGCAGAGTCTAAAGTCAGTTCTAGGAGATAGTTTTAGTTGCTTGAGGATTTAAAGTAATGAGATCCCTTCTTTAATTTAAAAACATGGGCATCTGCTCTCCTTGAAAGGGAATTGAGGACTGGGTGCACAGCTCAGTTTTGCAAGGCTTGAATTTAATCTCTAGTACTGTATCCTCCCTCCCCATCACCCAAAAAACAAAGGGCACCGAGACCTTACTAAAATGAAGCCAAGGCTCTGTGGAATGTAGTATTTTTACAGACTGTCTTGTCACCTGGGAATGGAGTGTGGGTGGGAGTAGGGCCCCAGTTGCCCCAAACCCCTCCTTTAGTGAATGTGGGAGGTGGAGGTCCTGTTTGATTCCTGGACTGGTTTTTCCTCCAGGCTAGATGAACAAAGCAGTGTTATTCCCACACACATCCTGCACTTTGAGAAGCACTGGCGGTTACTGGAGAGCATGAAAGCTCAGTACGTTGCTGGGAATGGTTTTCACAAAGTGTCCTGTATGGTGAGTATGGCTTTGTTTCTATGCAGCATCCTGTGTGTACTCAAGCATGTCATCTCCAAGGCTCCTTCTCTGGTTGTCATTCTGTCCCTTGGTTTCAGTTAACTGAGCAAGCAGCAGGCTAGCTATTTTGTTTTCTTGTTTGGAGAAACTTTGAGTAATTTCAGAGCCAGGTGCTGGTGGCTCACGCCTGTAATCCTAGTTACTCAGGAAGTTGAGATCTGAGGATCTTAGTTTGAAGCCATCCCAGACAGGAAAGTTCATGAGGCTCTTATCTCCAATGAAGTACAGAAAAAGCCAGAAGCGGCTCTGTGGCTCAAGTGGTAGAGTGCTCACCTTGAACAAAAGGATAGCACCCAGGCCCAGAATTCAGGCCCCAGGACTGGCAAAAATAGTTTGGGTTCTAGGTTCCATAAATTCACCATGTAGTATGTGGAGATCCTTTTATATAAAATGAAGGTGTAATTGGGTGATTTTATAGTAAATTGTTAAAAATATAACTTTCCTATAAAACTATTCTTTGCTTAAAGATTCTGATTTCTGCTTCGTTTTATAAAATTTGTTTGCAAAGCCATTAGTTAGAAAATTGTTAATGTGACTCCTGACACCAGTGGCTCATACCTATAATTCTAGCTGCTCAGGAGCTGTGGCTCCACTAGAATGCTATGAGCAAAAGATGCTCAGGCCCCGTGTTCAAGTCCCAGTTCCAGGTGCATGTGCGCTTTCACACATACACACAGAGACACACACATTAATGTGCCTTTTCTTCTTTAGTTAAGTTCAAGTCTCCATCATGTAAGAGTATTTGGAATGGACATCGATGACAATGGGAACTGGATGAGTCTTCAGATGAAGAGGAGGAAGCCAGTGGTAAGCCTGTGAAGATCAAGGAGGAAGTGCTGTCCGAGTCAGAGACAGAGGCCTCTGCTGATGCTCCAGCCCCAGAGATAGTCGTCAAAGTGGAGAAGCTTGACCCTGAACTGGACTCATAATCCAACTTGCCATTGTTTATTACATGTTACTGTGGCAGAAAGGACTCAGAAGATGGACTGAGACATCTTGGGCTGTGCTTAATTTTCTTTGTATAACAAAGAAATAAACAGTAACTTTTTCATATTTTGTATCACCTTCTCTTAGTAGGATGGCCATTGTAATACTTTCTCTTTGTTAGAAGTCTTTAATAATGTGTAAAGAAAACACAAATGAAGAGGCCAGGTGTGGTGGCTCATCCTGGTAATCCTAGCTACTCAGGAGGTAGAAATTTGGAAGATCCTTGTTCAAGGTCAGCCTGGGCAAAGTTTTCAAGACCACATCTCAATCAGTAAAGCTGGGCATGGTGATGCTGACCTGGGCATACACCTAAGACTCTATTTGAAAAGTGATGCCAAAAGTGCTAGGGTTGTGGCTCACGTGGTACATCACCTGTCTAAAAAGTGTAAGGCCCTGAGGTCAAACCCCAGTACTGCTACATCACCAAAAAAATTCCCACCAATTTGATGAGATGAAAAATTGGTCAATCTCCTCTCTCAAAAAGTTACTCAGAATTCCTGTCTGAGAAATTCAGTAATCCTTTCTCACTGAAAATCTTGTATATTTAGTATTTTTTAAGCATTCTATTGGACAATAATTATTCTAGGTTTTTAATCTAAATCGTGTTTGATCTCTAGAATACTTTTAATGCTGTCCTTTAAAATGAATCAGCTGATAGCCAAAAAAATGAATCTTGCCTCAAAAACTTTAAATAGCAAATACACTGTACCCACATGATTAGTTTTCTTGTTGTGTTTCCGTATGCATATCAGAGTTGCTTTGAAACAGCCATGTTTAGATGTATTTCCCCGCTGAGAATACTTGGTCAAGGACCTGAAATAGCTGTTTGGGTGATTGGCTAACTTGGGAATCTGAGAAGAATGGCTGAACTAAATAAAACCCCGAGTTAGTACAGGTGTGCTTCTATTGTCTTCCTAATGCTTAGGAGCTTCCAGTGTGCATGAATTCTACTATCAGTTCACTGATAAATGAAAGGACTAGTTCTTAAACATGTAAATATCCTTGAGCAGGAAGTCTTACACTAACCGTGTGAGTGGGTATCTACCAGGTAGATGAGTAGTTTGTCAGCTTAATAAGTTGGTAGATAACACTTGGGTTTGGGTCTGCTAGTAAAAATCAGAGGAGGCCATTGTTTTACTTGAGGCACCCTTACTGGGTCCTAGAACACTACACTAAAAAAGTGAAGTTAGGGGCTGGGAAGGTGGCTCAGTGGTAGAGCTTTTGCCTTGCATGCACGAGACCCTGGGTTCGATTCCTCAGTACCACATAAGCAGAAAAAGCCAGAAGTGGTGCTGTGGCTCAAGTGGTAGAGTGCTAGCCTTGAGCTCAAGAGCTGAGAGACAGTACCCAGGCCCTGAGTTCAGGCTCCATGACCAGCAAAAAAAAAAAAGTGAAGTTACCCATGTCACCAAAAGGACAGGAGTTTCTATCTGACTTCCTAAGAAATAAGAGACCTAACAGCTAAAATTCCCAGACACCGGTGGCTCACTCCTGTAAATAGTAGCTAACTCAGGAGGCTGAGATCTTAAGATTTTGGTTCAAAACCAGCTCGAGCAGGGAAGTCTTATCTCCAGTTAACCACCCAAAAAAGGAGTGGAGCTATGGCTCAAGTGGTAGAGCATCACCAGCCTTATGCAAAAAGCTATAGGACAGCATCCAAGCCTTGAGTTCAAGCCCCAGTACTGGCACAGAAAAATAATAAAATTTCTAAATGGACCAGCTTGAGTTGGCAGAACAATGCAGTTCTTTGTGCTTTAATCTTAGAATAAAATAACCTGAGATGAACAAATCAAATGTTTTTCTATTCGATCTCCCTGTAAATTTGAAATGACAGGTCTACTTTTTTTGGGGGTGGGGGGTCTGGTTGTTGGGCCTGAACTCTGGGCCTGGACCCTGTTCCTCAGCTCTTCAGCTCAAGGCTAGCACTCTACCACTTGAGCCACAGTGCCACTTCCGGCTTTTTTCTTTTCGCTTATGTGGTGCTGAGGAATCAAACCCAGGGCCTCAAGCATGCAAGGCAAGTGCTCTACCACTGAGCCCCTTTCCCAGCCCTGGATAGGTCTACTTTTTGCTCTTTGTTTTTGAATCTTTTAGTGTTCACTGTAGAAAACTAGTATCTTCTATTCAGTCCATCAGAACATTTCTCTCTTTTATAGAAGGAAATGTCCAAATTTAGAATCTCAAAGCCAATTGTCTTGGAACTAAATTTGTTGTCATTTTTTTCCTTTGACAGGACTTTTTCAGGTGCTCTGGATACCTACCTTGGCCTGATCTTTGTATATTTTGAAGGAATAGAAGCCACTGCGGGTGGCAGGGTGTTGAGGGCTTGTGCTGTTCAAAAGATGAGTTCATAATAGAATTGATCTTGATCAATATGTTATTTTCATTTTGTAACTTACAAAATGACCAGTGCTCATGGTAGAGAGTAGAATGTCTTAGATTAGCTTTTGTGAGCAGGAAAGATCAACTGTCAGACTCTGTGGAGAAATGATAGGTTGTAGGAATATAGGACACTTTAATGTATTGCAGGTTCACCACACCAATCTTCAGTGGTTTCGGAGACAAATGATATCAGCTTGTACTTAGAGTGAATTATGATGTCACAATAAGTAGCCAGTTCTTTATTAAGTCTGGTAATCTGCCTTGTGGGGCTTCAGTACTGTATCTATTAAAGTGCTTTTGATAAATGCATATTTGCTTCCTGTGGTTTTAGCACAGGCATAAATTGAAACAGAAATGTCCAGCCTCTTACCTTAAGTGACGGGTCAGTCAAACTCTTATTGATGTGCCAGCTGTCACCTAAAATTAAAATTTTAGTTTCAGTCATTTCTAACTATGGGTAATAGGGTTTTTTTCCATTATTGCTTTGCAAATATAAAAAAAAGTAGGAACTAATTTTTTTATTAAATCTAAATGAAAAAATGTATCCTCTTAACTAAAGCTCGTTAACTTTTAATGTATAGAACAAATGATTTCCTATTTATCATTGAGTGGTTCAATATATGCTACAACTTTTTTACCTCACTGGTTACTTTGCTTTCAATATTTAGAACCAATTTGGTCATTGTACACTGCCTTGTTAGTATATATAGCTGTGGGTGCTGCTCTTGCATTACTTTTGTGAATGGCAAGGGAAGTGCAGGATGAGGAAGCTGGGAAGTAGAACCTCACAGTTCCAGCTGTGTAGAGGGAGCAATGGATGCCTTGCCTCCCATAGTAGGGCCTTGAATGCCCATCTCTGGGCTTGAGGCATTACTGAGAGCATGATCTTTGGCCACGTGTGCAATACCCAGCAAGATGAGTACTTACTACATATTGTGTGTTGTCCTTTTCCTGTCTATGTGGTATTGTTCCTTTGAAAAATACTCCTTGCCCCCCCTGCTTTTTTTAAACACTAAATAGAAATATGATAAGCCTGATTCTCTGTCTTTATAGTTTTTGTTGTGGTTGTTGTTGGGCTTTTTATCTTTTTCCAAAATAAAAATTTTATATTTAGCAAAATGCTAAAACATGATGCCTTTTTTTCTTGTTGTTGTTGGTTGTGGGGTTTGAACTCAGGGCCTGGGTGCTGTCCCTAAGCTCTTTTGCTCAAGGCTAGAGCTCTATCACTTCAAGCCACAGCACTACTTCTGGTTTTTGAGAGGTTAAGTGGAGATAAGAGTCTCAGAGGGACTTTCCTGCCCAGGCCGGCTTCAAATCCTCAGATCTCAGCCTCCTGGTAGCTAGGATTATAGGCATGATTCACCGGGGCCCAGCTCATTCTGCCTTCTTAATTAAGAACATTTTAATGTAAACATGACAAAATGTTGCTATAGCCTTTATATGGCAACATAACTAGAGAGTTTATATGCATCTTAGTTTATCTGAATATTTCTGCCTTTTTTTTCTTTTTTGGCGGTCATGGGGCTTGAACTCTGGGCCTGGGCCCTGTCCCTCAGTTCTTCAGCTCAAAGCTAGTGCTCTACCAGTCGAGTCACAGCTCCACTTCCAGTTTTCTAAGAGGCTTTTATTGGAGCTAAGAGTCTCATGGAATTCCCTGCCCTGGCTGGCTTTGAACCATGATCCTCAGATCTTAGCCTCCTGATTAGCTAGGATACAGGCATGAGCCACCAGTGCCCAGCTATTTCTGCATGTTAAGGAAAGTCTGCAAGCAGACATGGACTACAGCATCTGAAGGACGCTATTGAAATCAGGCAGCCTGATTGCATAGGAGCTGGTCAGTTTCTTTGGCACCATTTGAAGTTGTGATTTTCTACTTACAGATAATTTATACCAACATTTACTCCTGCCTGTCCATCATAGTTTTAGTTCTCATAGACCAAAGGGAGCTAGGACTTAGGATTATACTGTCAAGGTTATCCAAACCTAAATAACATGAGAGCAGAAATGATCATTATGAGGAATAGTCCATTCACAAACATACATTTGTCTGTTTACAGATGGGAACTCACTGTGTAACCCAGTTAGAACCCAAATTTGTGATCCTCTCGCCTCAGCCTCCCTGGTGCGTAATGATTGGTGTGTGCCACCACTCCCAGCCGGAACTTAATTTTTTAAGTGGCAAGTTCTAGGAAATAAATTGTTGATATATTAATTGGTGTCTGAGCAAGCTAGAATATTGAAAACAGGAATTCCCATGAAACACACTTCTTAGGCCAGATTTGTCCAGACCAGTGAGTAAAAATACCCACTCTCTTAGGACATGAAGCTAGCACCAAGGGTAGCATTTTTTAAGCATATATTCTGTGGCTAGGGTGCATTGTGACATTTCCAACTCATGTACACAGTATATTCTAGTCAGTCTTACCCCTCTGTTATTCGGCCCCACTTTCTAAAACAATTTCAGTGGGCTTCATTGTTGTATTTAAACACATGCAAAGGATGTACTTTCACCATAGTCTTCCCCATTCACCCTTCTTGTTAGCCCAACCCCCTCTGCTAGTTCACCACCCACCCACCCCAAGAAAGCCTTTCCTCAGCTGCATTTTTAACCAGCTTTAATCCTGGTAAATCA